ACCCATTTTTTTTTCTTCATACAATGTACCCACATTATTATTGCACAGCCATATTTCTTTAATCACTTGTTGGCTTTCCTTGTCATTGTAATGTTTACTTTCAAATTTAAAAGTGAAATATTCTAGATACCTATTGAGCTTCGTTAATTTGTGTTTAACAAATTCGTCTTTCATATAGTTCAATAGTTTTCTAACCTATATTTCCCTTAGTTCTTGAGTAAGAAAAGAAACTTGAATCTCAGACGTCACAGATTCTCACAAGATCGAATTCTCTATCAATCTTATATTATTGAGACGATTCTTCAGTCGATAATAACATAATCAGCAAATTCACTTCTCGGATAAAACAGTCAACATTTGCTTCGCATGAACATGTTCTAACTTTGAATTCTAGTATTTATAATGTTCTTCCACCCTTTTCTTCAAAATGTGTTTAAGAGCACCTCAAGGAATATCAGACCGCACTGCGGTTATGAAAGCAGTTGCAGGCTTGTTTGGAGATTCATCTGCTTTCTTGTTTTCTTCATCCCTTTATATATATGGCACCGAACAAAGAGTAACTGTGTTGGTATTTCCCGATTCATTTCGCATTTTGAAAGCAATTTCAAACAAATTTTGAACTTTCCTTATTTGAATCTAGCCTAACTGTCAAAGAATGTGAGCTTAAATTTCCTATCAAAACACGCACTTGTAACTATAAATTATGTCTAGGGTGTAGTTTCTCTAAGCTGTATTCCAACTTCTTCCAAGCTATGTCTCCAATGAATTCTTACTCTTATAGATACTCAAAGTTATTAATATCCACCACATCAGAATGGTTAAATATTGAACTGGAATAAGTTTCTACAGAAGGTGTACAATGTTTAATTATTACTTATACAACATTGGCTGGTTATAGTATTACAAAACAATCATTCAACCAACATAGATATCATAAGGAAACATTTAAGCGCAATTAGAAAGATCAAGCCAATCTTTTACATCTTCCATTTCTATTCCTACCTCTTTTTTCTTTAATTTTCTTTAATACATACAGTGACACCATTGTCAAGCGGCGTGATTGAGAAATAGATTAAGAATTAATGAAAACTGTTAGATGTAAATATTTAATACAAATAAGACAGATACTTTCGATTTTGGAAAAATCATATACCATGAGAGAAAACATTTTCTAGCGCTTTTCAGTTTCTATTTTTATCAGATTCAGTTTAATTTGGAACTATAGTTATCTGAACATCATTCTTTTCAGCAAATTTGGGAATTAATTACATTAGTATTGAAGTAAATTAAAAAAGTTAATCTAATAATAGATACTAAAAATAACTAAATCAAGAATTAAAATTAATATAACTGTTCAAACAAGAAAATGTTTGATTTTTAAGAATGCTACGTGCATTTCTCGCTATTTCTATTTTTTGTTTGGGTGTATGAGAGCATGCTGATCAATTGCTATGTTGTATCTCATCTCACGCTGTGAACGAATATGCTAGTACTAGGTCCATGTGTAATATTTCGCGATAGAACGTCAATTAAACCTGTGAAACAAGGATAGGTTACTCTAGAGTGTTAAACAGTGTGTGACATGATGAAGCAGCCGCCATTTTGGAACTGTTCTACATCTCTAACGAGGGGCGAGTAATTCTACTAATTCTTAGTGCAGTGACATAGCAGTCATGTGATAAAGATAGACCTTTTGATCATATCGATGTTTAACAATAGAAGAACTAGAGTAGTAACTCGTAGTGAGAAATTAACAAAAATTTTAGGAGTAGTAGTCTTTATAAATATGTTTGTAGCAAATGTGTTAAAATCTTAACGCATTCGCTATTTTAGCTATCAAAATAATATTGTAATAAAAATCATAGAATAGACAGTTTTCTAGTGGGTAGAGTTATAGAAAATTTTTAGATGTAGAAATACAATTAATTTCCAATATTTACCAAGCTAAAGCTTAGACTTTTCATAGAAATATTAACCAAAAATTGGCAGAAGTGTGTGATAGAGTTAGTCAGTGTTTAGAGGCAGAAAAAATACTAGTGAATATTCGCTGTCACTAAAACTAGATAGACTTTGTTAATGCAACTCATGTGAACATTTACCTATGGTTCTCTATTCCGGATATTATAAAGAGTTAAATATTATTTTAAAAGATAATTTATTTCAGTTAATGAATTATACTATTAAATGTAATTACCAAAAAGCTATTTCTTGTATAGTCTCGTATTTAAATAAATATTCTATAAATTCACTAGAATTTTTTCTTCTAGAAGCGATTCCATTTTATAGAAATGATAGAACTTATATTAGTCAAGTTTTATGTGTACCTATATCTAATATATTATAACCCACTAACACAACACTACCTACATTTATTTATTTTAAACAATCAGCTTAAAGTCGTAGGTCGTCTTTCGCATGAACCTCCTTATAAAAAATTTTAGACACGAATTTGGAAAAGTCAATATGCAGACATTTTGTATATTAAATCTTGTCCAGTTATGATAGATGGAAAACTGAAAAAACTTCGTGTCGATACCGTGGAGTCTGAAGACAGTTTTTCCATTCTGTCCCATATATTTTCTTCATCCATCACATGTCTCAGTATAAAGCTCATATGTGGCGCAATTTCTTTTGACTTGCATTTTTATTACTAAAGTTTAATTCACGGAAGTTTTTCCCGAGATTAAAGGAGACGAAAGGACGACCATCGATTTACGGGATTTGACGTAAAACTTTAATAAACATGTCTCTCAAATATAATAGAACTTCTTGAAGTTGGAATGAATGTTATTTACCGCCGTTTTCATGTGATAGAAATAGTTTTCTTGAAGCGGTGTTAGTTTAAAAATAATACAACTAGCTCAACTGTGCTAGTTATTTTAGTTATCAAAGCTTTTTTCACATTTTTAAGAAAGGCAATCTCTTTGTTTTTCAATTACCACTTGGTATGTCTATGTGTCTACGCTAAGGTGGACGCAAACACGTCGAATTTTTATATTTTGAGATATCTTAAACAGATTTTCTTTCTGGTTTTAAAAATGCGTAAAATCCTATACTGCGACTTTTCGATGCCGTCCGGGTAGGGCAGGGTATTCTGTGATAATTTTAAGCCTTCAAAATTCAAAATTTAAAAAATGAATTTTTATGGCTTATTTTTTAATATTTCTAAAAATCAAGTCAAATGTTAATTTCATTCATCCATAATGAGTGTTTTTTTTAAACCTGAAACTACCCACCCTGCAAAAAATTGTCACTAATCGAGATTTAATCATTCCGCGAGGGAAATACATTAGTGCTAAAATTAGCCCCCTCCCCCAACCCTTGTAAGTGAGGAGGGGGTAACTTTGACATTTTAAGTAGGAAGCACTCCGATAAGTCATAAGCGAAGTAAATAGCGTTGACCAAGTATCCCAAAAAGAACGCCTGTTCCTGGGTTACGATTATAGTAGTTTCTTGACAAGTCATTTTTATTGAAAATTATTGATTTCCTAGGATACTGGTAAAAAAAATGGTTTATAAAACTATTTTTCATACATCATATAATTAAGTAATATGACCATATGATCATGAAATTATATACATTTAATCAGTCATTTTTCAGTAATCGAATATTTGAGAAATAAAATTTCTTTTAAAACTATTTCAACATTATTTTGGTACAGTAAAAGCGTGGTATATTTTATTGCAAAAAAATGAATTGCGTCTATTACAGCGCCAACTATCATGATTCTAAAAAATATTTTAGACAAATCATACGTACCTTTAGCGGTTGAATCCGAATCTACAATAAGAAGTAGGGGCTCATATTTAATATTTCAAAGTTACCCCCCGTCTCACCTATAAGGAGGGGAGAGAGGGACTAATTTTAGCAATATGTACTATATTCCGTCCATGGAGTAAATAAATAAGTTTAGGTTAAAAAAATCACCCGGTATATAAAGTATTTTATAGTGGCAATAATCAAGTATTTTGTTTTAATGAATTACAACGTATTTTTATTTTGTCTATCATGACTGCATGAAAATTTATAACATATTAAAGTTGTATTTTTCACGTTCAAAACTTTAATGCAGCATAATTTTGAACTTTATTTTCAAAGAAACAGATTTTTCTGGAAAATATTACATTTATTAAAATGAATTCGTAATGTACACCCTCGAAACCTATAAATTGATACGTTTGATGCTAAATATTCAAACCTCGAAAAACTATATAAGATTTTTCAAGAGAATTTTCTTTTCTCTAATTCACGTTTGTTATTTAAAAATGAAGTGATAACTGATTATTATTTTGGCTCCAAAATATTAATTTTCACATAATCTGTACTTCATTTAAAAAATATCCGGGAAAACGATTGGGAAAATCGAAATTTTTCATAGGAGCAATTTTGTCAAATATCTCAGAGTAAAAAAGTTCGCTTATTGCGGATTTTTATGTCTAATTTTCCTGGACTATTATACATATCTCAAAAGATAGTGATCCTTAAAAAAAATATGTTATGGTTGTTATGGAGATGACTAAATAAATAATTAATCATTTTCACTGTAACATTTCACATTAAATTAAATTAAAATACTCATACCCATTGAAATAGGTTGCTATATATATTATTTTCAAATTTTTGGGGTATACCAATGACTACAACAAGCATTGCAATCGTAGCCGATTGGCATCGACCTGTTCAAGAATGCAGGATTTTATGGTCTTTTCAACAGCAAAAAATGAGATACATAAACACTCTACGACTTTGTGCCCATCTTAGCACAGACACTGTATAATTAATTAATTTAAATCACATAATACTACATATTTAGGCATATTTCCACTTGACAAGTAACGAGACATCTCTGTAGTTTATACGTATTCAGTTTTAGATCAAGTCCTAAGCTGATGAAACAATTAATTTATTTAAATACAGTCTCCTACACGAATACAATTTTACATGTGTTGGATGTTGGCTTTTACCCGTTCCTAATCTAGTGTTGTCTCTGTGTTTTCAGTGGATCTAACCAACGGTCAACTGACACCCAATAATAACACACCACTGTTGACCCAGGCTTTGTCAGGTAATTTTCACAATTTCTTTTCATTTAGTATTCATCGGGATTCATCGGTGTAACAAAAATAAACCTAGTAACAAATGTAGTATTTCAAATTGTATAAATGCCAATACTCTACTAACAGAAGTCCTTTAGGGATGGGTGTCCTATTATAGAAAGAGCTGCACAGTTTTCGCATTAAGTTGAAATTATGCAGTCCGCCCACCCCTGAATTTGTATAGTGCCACTGTCTATTTTGTTTCAAGAGCTTTGTTTTTCTGTCTAGTGTAGTCTGCATGAATTTAATATTAACACCCTATAGAATTCTCCCCTTTGTTATCTAGGGTTTTTTCTTTTGTGAGAAGTAAACAACGTATAAATTATCTTCAATGTATTGATTTTTAACAGAAACGAAAATAATTTAATAATTTGATTGTTTTAAATGTTTGTATCAAAAAATGATGCGCCCGAATTTAATATCTACTTCAAGAATTAATGTCATAGAATTAGCAGAACAGTATCGTGGTATTTCATATTGACACCGTGATTACTTGGCGATTTTGTATACTCGTACATGATATATACTCTCATATACTCTCCAATGTGTATAGATATTTCTAGAAACATAATTATTAATTTCGAATAATGTGTCATTCTATGTAATCAAAAGTGTTATATTTTTGTGTTACATACTGACGGAATGACATGTAAAAGAACATTTTAAAAAATAACATTTCCGAACAAATACAGATTTTTCATTTTCTCTGTTCAAGGTAGAATGCGTTAAAGTACATATGTATTTCCTATCTTATCTCCAATAACGCATTAAAATTTGATAAGCCTATATTATGAGAAGCCCAAAATTGATTAGTTTAATTAGTCAGTTATGCAGAATGTTATGCTGTCTGCTAGGAATATTTTAAGTTACAACTTGTTTAAAGTTAGGGTTATAGTTTTTTTTAAACGAAAATTAAATGGTTTAAAGATTTTTTGTGTAGAATTAAAAAGCACTTAAGGAAATGATATTAGAGACTCGAAAATACAAACCTCAAAAAATAACTTATATTTCTGAAACACGTTGTATATTTCAATATTATTTATTATTAGCCCATTTTTTCACCAGAGATTTAATTTTATTGTCGTGTTTTCTTATGCATTGATAATCATGTATAGTTTGTGGAAAATATTTTTAACTCGCATTTTCTAAAAAAAGTTAAGTATTCCTGAATTTTTCACAAATAAACAATTTATTTTCACATTAAACAAATTATTTATATGCTACGTGACTGGTTTATAAAAAAATTACCAATAAATATTCACGTAAAAATTATATTACAGTTTTATCGTTTAAAGTAACTTAAATTAATTGAAATAGATTTGTTTTTACCCGAAAAGAACCACCACTGAGTATGCCTCATTTTTTACCAACAACTATAATTTTGTGAAAATATTACCACTATCAAAAAATTTATACAAATATTAATTATTATTGTTATATTCTTTTAAATGAATTTGATACAATAATATGAAAGAGATATTTTTGTAGCTTCTTGCACACAATTTAAATTATTACTGTTGTTCGAGGAAAAGCCGAAAATGCTACATTTCTGTATAATTACCGACTTTTAATGTAATAATTATAATTGTTTTTATTAAAAAAGAAAACGGTCATTATTTCGTCCAATACCTTAAATAACTGGTATGCAGTTATAAAATAAAATTTTAAATAACCTTTTTTTACAAAAATTATTCTAAAAAACTAAATATTTAATGTCACTTTTTACAAGATTTTATTCAACATGCTTTGTTAGTATGGGTCATATCTTGCCACTGAATTTTAAAATAGTTATCCTCAACCGATTGAGCTGAAATTTTGCATATACGTTTAGTTTGGATGACAATGCATGGTTAGCTAAGTGACGCCATTCTAAACTCAATATGGCGGACCGGTTATTTTTTATGCACTCCCATGATATGGGTATCAAATGAAAGGGTTTGCTAAAAAGAATACGAAAATAAAATTACGTCACTAAAAGCTTGTTTTAAAAAAATTATACATGAACTTATTTTCCATTTATTTGAGTAAATCAATTTTCAAAAATCTATTTTACAGCCAAATATTTTAAAGAAGTGTTGTTTTTTCCTTTGTTTTATATCTTTAGACGTCTTGTTTAGTATACAATTGCTTGCATTGTTTAATTTTTGATCCGAATTGGAAACAAATGAAAAATCACCCCTTTTACAAAAATATACGATTTTGCCCTACAAGATAATTAATAAATTTTAAGTGAACAAATAGATTTATACATGGTGTTCAGTTAATTCGTTAAACGTTAAGAATAGTTTATATCATGAAAACTAAGGGGAGTAGCTCAAATAAAGTCTCGTTTAAAAAGTTTCGTTTCGGGGATACAGGATGTTAAAATTTAATTGATTTTTCAATTTTGATATGGAAAGTACTAACAATGACCTCCAACAGCAGGTATAATTTCATGTAAATATAAAAAAGATAATGACATTTAAAATTTTCAATGTTTTCTAATAGTTCCTGAGAAATGTGGGTTTAAATATTCTACTGTAGAAATCGGTAGGGAACATGAAAATATTTGACAGTATTAAAATTTAATTAACCATATTTTTTTGCCAAAATCGCAGGAATAAAGATTTACCATTATTCGATACATCGATACGATTTAGATCAACTTATGTGAAGTCAACAGTCACTGAGTTATAGGCTTTTAAATGATTATTAACAAAGGTGAATGTTGATTTACTGAGCTATATCTCGGAAGACATTAACTTAGCAAATAAAAAGTGAAGTTTAAATTAGACAGTAGAAAATTTGTTTTTCTCAGGATCTATGCAATTTACTGATATGCAACAAATATACCTTTTATGTCCATTAATGACAAAATGAAATAAAAAATAAAAATAATAATATCTCCGTAAATATTTGTAGTTTTGAGGAATGACTTTCACTTTACTCATTTGCATTGCGAGTTAAAATATATGTACACATTTAAGATTTACCCTGCACAGTATCAAAACTGCATATTCAGTAGTTATCAAGACAATTTTATTATATCAACATTGTGAACTATTTAGTACGGCTGTTAATTTAAATAAAAGAACATGAAACTAAAACACTTTATTGATATCAAATGTAATGGACGAAATGTACCTTCCAGCAGAAATGTGCTAAATTCAGCAGCAGATATGTAAATATATAAATACTATAATAAACTTACGAGTCTATTTCCATCACGTTGTCAAGTTGAGCGGCAGATGCTTATGTAATTTTAAAGTTCTGCTTCCACCTTTCCATTCAGTATCAAATTTATTTGAAACGTGAATTTTCTAAACATTAACTGGTAGATAAGCTAAATTAGGGAAATTCGTCGTCTACAAATAAAATTGCAAGACTTACTGAGGTCAATTATAAGATTATACTTACATATAATTCATTTAAATTATTTTTTACTAACAATAGTGATATTAAAAGTAGAAATAATACTGGTTAGTAGAGAATTAGTAAATTATTTCGTAGTTTGTAGATATTCAGGATGTCCCAATTAATGAGACATAGAGCAACTGTGAATTTGAAACATCATTGGAGTATGATTTAACTCAACTAAAGATGATATAGATGGTACTGATGTCATTTTTTTTACCATGTTTATATTTATTATATTATTACTGTGTAAACTTTAAGAGACATTTCCTTAGATTATTTTAGGGTAACAAAACCTTAATTAACCCGTGGTCAAAAGCCACTGATTTTCAGAGTTCAGTGTACTGAATTAAAAAATACCTTCATTTGTTCATATATCTGAAGTTGCTAATTTTTTCTTTAAAAATGTTGAGAAAATATAAATCTTTGGTTTTAAATTGCCAAATATTTAAAGATAAAGAAGTGGGGGCTTGATTAAAACATCTCATTTAAACTGCATTGAGATAAGACACATGTTATTATTTATCACTCTAAAAAACCTTTATTTGTCAATTGTCAGTTTGCAAATTACCTTATTTGCGGTAAAAAAAATCAAAACAAAAGTTAGTGACTTTTATTTAAAAGTCAGTAACTGGTTATTTAACCACAACATTTGAAGTAACATGAAGTTTGGTTAACCCATTAGTGCATGAGGTTTTTTATTTTTTGTTTAAAAATACTATTTAGGTACTTATTTGGAATTATATAAAAATAAAACTAAAGATTTAAATAAATGTTTTTCCAAATCCTACTTGTCATAATGCATTTCGGTTACTAAAATAAAACAATAAAATGTTAAGACATATAATAACTAATTATTTACATGAACTTAATTATTTTAAACAAAAATAAGAGAGCGTAAAAAATGAAAAGTTTTTAAAGAAGAGAGATCACTTGGTATGAAACAACTTCAAGCATACTTTGATGTGTAATCCAACATTGCATTTTTCAAATTAGCTTTCTTTGTATAATGTTTACATCTTCTGTGTGTTGGACTATACAATACAATGTGCCCTATATTGTCATATCTAACATATGTGGTTGGATTGGACACACGTCCTTTTGATGGCGGTGTTCCACGAGTAAATTCACACAATTTGAATCTTTGGGAAAAAGTTTCTTCAATAACAGCATTCTTGATTAGCATTCATTGGAAATAACTAAATAAGCAAAAATTGGCTATTTACACTGTCTAATCCTTATTCTATAAAGCACTACTAAATTATCCCAATATACTATATTATTCCAACATTATATTTTGCTATCATTTCTGGCTGATCAATTACTTTTCTGGACTTAGACTCCCTTCACGATGGATCAGGGAGTCTAACTTCCTGACCCATCGTGAAGTTTTAATAACATTGTTCTGGGAAAAATTATGAAACCGGAAAAACTGCTTTATTATCCTTCCATTTTACAAGCAGAACAGATTCACTAGCCATTTTATATGCCCCTCTTGGTTTATTATTTTATTCCTTCTTATCAGGAAATGGACAATGTTCCTTCCATTCAGTTTTCACGATCCCATTGCACACATTTTCAAATCAGCAAGATGTTGAAGTAAAAGTATACTGGTAAAATATTTGTCCAAATATATTTTATACTCCAAATTGGACTGTACTTTAGCATTTTTCAAAAGCCACATAACAACATCTCCACCAAATCCAAAATTATGCCCACCTGAAGGGTTTCCTGTATAGATTGTAAATGTGTCACGACAGCCAATATTTGTACATAGAGCCCAATTTTTATACCCGAATCATATTGGTTTGCCCTTTATGTATTGTTTCACATAATGTTTCCCGTAATAGGGTACCATACTTTCATCGGTAGCGATATGCTCCTCTAATTCTAGTCCCTCATGTTATCTAAAGTTGTCCTTTAGTTGTACAATAGTTGGACGTAATTTGTATAACCTATCTGCATTTTCATTTAAAATATTGTCGTTGAAATATAGGTACTTCAGTATAGTTTCAAATCTATTAAGCCTAACACTATTGTAAACAATTTTTGGGACATCGTTTACTAACACATACGCTTGTTAGGATATTTGAAGTATCCTGATACCAGCATTGCACCAAATATTACATACTTATATTCGTCCTTAGTAAAATTGACTGTGCAGTTTTTTTGCTGAAGATATAAATTTAACTGCGAAATTATAACAATACGAAATCAAAGTAAAAAGTTCTAGAGACAAAACCTTTTCAGTAGGTTACTTTGGCGTGCAAGCTTGTTTATGTTATAGAAAGGGATATTCTCTGACCACATATATCTTCTTCGTTTGCCTGGAACAATATCATAAACACTCGATAAAACCTCAGAATTTTCATTAGCTGAAGTAGAGCCTAAATTACTTTTGATAACTAAGAGTGAAATGTTATCATCTATTTCATCAAAGTCTGAATCAGCATACCTAACCTCACATTCTTGCTTCAATATTCCCCGTGATAGATGGTTCTAATCAGCATTTTCTTCATCCGAATCATCACTATCTTCCTCTGTGTCAGCTGCTGTAGCATATGGAGGCCTATACAGGGTGGCCAAATGAAAACGAAACAGTCATTTTCAGGAACCACGTCAAGATTGTAGAAAAGCGCTCAGACCCGATTTTAGATTAAAGGGGGACATTCTTTGCTGGTATTTTTGACTCCGCCACTTTCACCCCCCAGCAAGGGTAAGCATCACCCCAAAATATTTAAATGGCATTGAGGGTTGAGCAACAGACTTTAAATTTTATAATTCCGCCCAATACTTATTAAAATTTTGATTTTAAAGTTGAAACTTATGTGTGTGTAATTAGTAACGGAAAAAATATCAGTCATTCAAGTTAAGTACGCCAATGGTATAAATTTAGTATTTCTCGCGTTACATTGGTTTTTGGCGATTTGTTATCACTTTCGTAAAAAACACAATTGTAAAAACAGAAATGAATTGCTATACACACACAATGAACGTAAAATTAGTAGATTCCAAACTATTTTCTAGTATTATTTGGAAGCGTTGGTTGGTAGATTATTTAATTGTGTTTTTGAAAATTAAACACTATGGTTTATTCCATTGCGGAAAGGGTATATATAATTTCGTTTTACTTTATGAACAATAAATGTGCGAATGGAACAGCTCAGCTATTTAATGAACAACATCAAGATCGACATGTTAGGAGGAAGTATGTTCTAGAGTTAGTAAGAAAATTTCAAGAGACAGGGAACATAGCCAATAAAAAACGAGAAATTGAAAAACATATAGTTAATGAAGCTAGTGAAGTTGAGGTTTTGGGAAGTTCATCTTGATCCTACATTAAATACGAGGCAGCTGGCATCTGTGTCTGGGATCAATCGAACTAGCATACAAACTATTGAAGAAGAATAAATTCCATCCATACAAAATACATTTAGTCCAGAAACTTCATGAGGATGATTATCACCGCCGTTTGCAATTTTGCGAAATAATGAGTGAGCGAGCAGGGAACGGTCCATAGCTTTTTTTTAACATTTGTTTTTCTGATGAATGCAGTTTTTTCTTGAACGGGACGGTAAATCGTCCCAATTGCCGCTATTGGTCCGATTCAAACCCAAGAGTTTTTCACGAGGTGCATACACAGCAACCGGAAAAACTAAATGTATGGGCTGGAATTTTCGGTGACCGGCTGGTTGTTTTTCTACCTGATAATTTGACTGGCCAAATGTATTTGCAATTACTGTAATACTATTCAAACGTAATTTTTTTTCAAAGTATTGTGCAGGATTATAAAATTTAAAGTCTGTTGTAAGAGCTTTCAAAAGAAATATTACTCAACCCCCAATGCCATTTAAATATTTTGGGGTGATGCTTACCTTTGCTTGAGGGTGAAAGTGACGAAGTCAAAAATACCAGCAAAGAATGTCCCCCTTTAATCTAAAATCGACGGGTTTGAGCGTTTTTCTACAATCTTGACGCAGTTCCTGAAAATGGCTATGTTTCATTTTCATTTGGCCACCCTGTATATATTTCAGAGGACAAATCATCATCAGCATTTCCCTCAATAAATGTTAACAGTTGATGTAAAGATAGACTGCAAAAAAACAAGGGAGATAGTAGAAAGTTTGCAGAAATATTTTTCTAATCATTGTGCATAAGAGTCCATTATAATGGATTCAAGAGTCAAATTTTGAATATACAATAATAAATAAATAAACCATAAATATACATATAAATTTATTATGTACGAACATAATGCACATAACACATAACCTAGCGTTGAGTTACATTATACAGTAAAGGGTTAAATTAAAATATTTGGAAGGTTCAAATTCATAGTAGTCTGTAGATTATAGATAACAGTAGATAGTATTTCCAGTAGTTTTGATATTTAGTAAGCATGTAAATTTAAGGTAAAAAGTAATACTACCTACTAGACTCTATTGGTTTTTGGTTGGCCCGTGACCCGCTATAACATTCATTGATCATACACGAATGCCTGTAGAATACATGCTCCTCTATAATCTTCCCCACCTAGTATTTGCATAGTGAACGGCTTCGGTCGGCTCCAGGAGAGTGTATTGTTCTCATGCAGGGTCTTCGGGTGCCAGCTGGTCTCAACAACCTTCAGGAGCCGACCAGAGCACAGCTCAACCCCACTTCTCGGTTTCCTTTGCAGTCATGAATAACTACCAGGCAGCAGCCGCGGCAGCGCAAGGTTTCGGACCTCCTGCTTCTCCTCATGCCGCGAACACTCGCGGGGGATTCCCAGCTGCGAATTCTCCAGGTCCCACCATTGACATGTACAACAGCAGCGCGGGAGACAGTGTGGGCTATGTCCAGGCAGCTAGCCCACAGCCGTCTAGCTTTCCAGCCATCGCAGTCAGCAGAGCTCCCCTTAACTACAGTCCGGTAAGTTTTTTTTCCTTGTTTATCTTTAGTGTGTTAAAATTTCTCCAACTGACCAAGCATCATTATTTGAGATTGTGCGATTGTGGTAAAATAATGGGAAGAGGTTCAATTCCACACTAATATCTGTTTATAGTAAGTATTTACAAACAATTCTTTAAACAAGGTGGTCCAGAATTATGTACCGTAATTTGTAGGAGTGATAGTACATAAAAAAATAATGGTACCTTTTTATGTACACTTTTTTTCAAAACTCAATAATAAGGGAGTTATACCCCTGTAAAAGGGTGGAAAATATTTTTTGTTATTATCTTCCGACCGTTTTTGAATAACAGGTTTATATTTTAGTGATGAGTATCTATGCTTAAGGCAATTATTTTTATGTTACCATTTATTCCATCCCTTACCATGGTTTTGGGTGGTAATTGTGAATTTATACGTCATATCTTTTTAATTTTCATTTTTTTAAAAATATTTCCTAAAAAATCAATTTTCTAGGCTATTCTACGTGAAAAAAGTACTCTTGCCACATTTCGATAAATATCACCGTTTCCGAATAATTTACAATTATAAGTTAGCGTGCACTTGTATGTACGGGTAACGCGTCAAGTAAGCATTGGACTAAACAGTACTAAACAAAACTTTCATATCAAGTGTTCTATAAAATCTAAATGACATTTAAAAACAATTGAACTATTTTAATGCCACTTGTAACATTCTCGACAGTTGAATTTATTTGATACATCGTTTTTTAAAATTGTTGTCATAACCATGGTGAATTATTCAAATTCAAACAGAAATAATTTTGGCGCCGGGCGGATGTTTAGGAAATTCTGCAGTTGCTGTAAAACGTTATAGAGAAAAATTTTCAAACAGAAATATTCCCGATGCCAAAATCTTTTTAAGTATAGAACGCCGACTAAGACAAACCAGAAGGCTTAGGAGAAGAAATACAGATGCTGGACGTCATAGAGGAGCAAAATCTCTTCGTGTGGAACAACAAATAATAGACACGGTAATGAACGGTCCCACAGTAAGTTAGGATTAGAATGAACATTTTTTCATCAAAGTGCTTAAGAGTTTTGCACGGATAACTGTTGCACCCATCTCACTATAGTCAAGTACAGGAACTATTGCCTGACGACATGCCACTCAGAGTAGGTTTTTGTGAATTATTGCAAAAGAAAATTCAAAATGATCAACATACTTTTTACGGATGAAGCAAACACAGACGAGCCGGCGAAGCAAGAAGAGCGCCAGAAGAAAGGGCCCTAGCCGGCGGGGCCCAGCCAGGACAAAAGGAGGTCCCACAAAGCGCCTACACCGGCCGCATTTGCGGTCGGGGTAGACAACGGATGGGGCCCACCTACGAAGGCTGTCCAGGCCTACACGAGATGAGGCAGGATAAAGAGGGATAATCCCCCTCGATCCCAAATCATTGAGGCCAATTTCTAGCCATGGAATAATGGCGCGGATGAAGCCGCATTTCCAATGCAAGGTATGTTTAAGTTTAACTCTAGAACTATGCATTTCTGGGCTGAAGAAAATCTTAAGGTTACCATGGAAACTCATTTCCAACATACTTTTAAAATAAATGTGTGGGCAGCAACTTCAGAGAGCCAATTCGCGAGATATCACATATTTCCTGGTAATTTAAATGGAAACATGTATTACGACTTTCTAAATAATAACAACATGATGTCTTAGAAGATATTCCATTGAACATAAGAAGAAACATGTTTTTCATGCATGATGGTGCTACACCACACTACACAAACATTTGTAGAAGGTGGTTACATGACCACTTCCCAAACAAATGGATTGGTAGAGGAGCAGGTGCACCAATTAAATGTCTGGCTCGATCGTGTGACCTTAATCCAATGGACTTTACAGTATGGAGTTATTTAAAATAAAAAGTGTATCAATGAGTACGTTAAACGACTTGAGAGACAAATTAGAACAAAAATTCACTAACTTACGAAACAATGCAATACCGTTAAATAGAATAATACGGTTTATAAATAAGAGAATTAGTTTGTGCATACAACAAAATGGGGAGACATTTAGAACAATTAATAAAATATTTTGATAAACAATTAGAATATTAAGTTTTGCATTATCTTTTCAAATTTTTTATTAAATTGTATTCCAAATGATACTTGATGGATTAAAGAACTGTTACCCTTATATAAAATGCACGTTAACTTATAATCGTAAATTACCCGAAAACGGTGATATAAGAGTACCTTTTTACGTGGAATTGTCTAGAAAATTAATTTCTTAAGAAATATTTTAAATAAATTGCAAACTAAAAAAAAATGCCAAATAAATTCACACTTACCACTTCAAAACTACCCCGTAGTGGTAAGGGATGGAATAAATAGTAACATATAAATAATTGTATTAAGCATAGATACTTACATCTGAAATATAAATCTGTTTTCAAAAGTATTCGGAAGATATTAAAAACAAATTATTTTTTTTTCACCCCGTTACAGATATGTAACTCCCTTATGATTGAGTCTCGAAGAAAAGTGTACTTAAAAAACCATTTTTTGAGGTACTATCACCCCCTAGAAATTACGATACATTATTATGACCACCTTGTATTAAAAGTTTTTCAAACATGAGAGATTGAGAAACGAAGCATCTAATAGTGCAATGACACAAAAGTTACCATTGATCAGAATTCATCTAGATGCACATGAATTGCGGACGATTGTAGTAATACCTAATGCGGTTAAAATCCATTTACCAAAATGCCAATTAGTGGTCACTCCAAAATTTAAATTGGAATACTGTTCTCTTTCTGTTCAAACACTCGGATGGTGCTTAGGTGAAGTGTTATTTAAATAGTCTAGTAAAATATCAAATTACATTGTTTGATGTAGTATTAAATTTAATAAATAATTTTATCGGAATTTATTACAGACATTTGTAACTTTAAATGGGAGTCAGTTTCTTTAGGGGTACGTGTTCTCCAGAAAACCAGTCTACAACCATTTTTATTTCAAAGTCAAATAGAATAATCAAGTTCGTTTTTTTTTAAAGCAGTACCTAAACTCTTGTCTACGCCGCCACTGGGCAATTCCCGAATTCATTTGTAGGTACGCATTTATCGCTGTCGCTTGTTCTCATTTTAACGCAACAATATAAAACTGCAATGGAAAATAATTTTGTAAACACAAATTACTTTTCGACGTATTGTTTTAGTCACCATGATTTTTTTGTGTTTATTAAAAATTAAAATTTTCTGGATGATTTATTAAATATAAACTAATATTGGAATGTGAATATGTTACAAAAATATTTAAAAAAGTAAGCAGAAGGAGTACAAGGGTTATAAAATATACATATAAGTAAAATAATATACGTTCTAAAATAATTATTTTTGGTGTTTTATAAAACATATATATCATACAAAATAAATGAAAGTATGTACTTATTCTGATAGATTTGAAATACTTTAACAAGAAATATTTGTTCTATTTTTAAGCACTGTGTTTAGTTTGTGAACCTCAGTGTCAATGACCTCTGATATTATCCTATAGTAGGATCGTATTCGATGCAAAGTAGAGCAAACAGTTGTCGGTCTTTTATCAAAGGAAAATCGTGTCATCATTTTTAGGAGGCGTAAGATAAATCATTTCAAATTTAAAATGAAATTCAATGTAAAATCTGAAATACCGCTGCATACCGCCCAGGTGCATCGAGTGTACGAACTGGTCGGTTATACGTCAAATACTAACCCGGCGAGGCTTTGCCGTCAATTAGAGAGCGCTTCCAAAAAACAAGTAAACAACAGTGGCGCGTACAGAGGTAAAATGTAGTACATATGTGGAATTTGGGAAACAAATTGGATTTATAATAAATTACATTTAAAATAAATAGTTTATGAGAATAAAGGAATTTTTGTAGGAACAAGGGTGCCAGACCTGAACTGATCAATTATTTTCCAGTTTTTAAATAAATAAAATAAAATGTATCGATTTTATAGTACGAAGATAGTGTTGTGCTTAAATTTTAGCTCGAATTTTAGTAATTACACAGGTCAACATTTTATCTAGGCTTGTGCACAGGAATCGAAGATGGTATCCTAGGGTTTTTGGGGTCGCTGATTACAATGAGCGGGTCGGTTAGGCTTCATCACGTCAAGGTCAAGGTCATTTGAAGGTCAAACGGTCAAAAAACCTTCAAAAAATCTGAAAAAATTCATGGACATGTTTTTGAGGTCGCTGAATCCGAATCCGGTGTTTATTACTTTGCATGCATCCTCGAGGTCATTCAAGGTCATCTCAAGGTCATTTGAGGGGTTTTTGAGACAAAAATGCTAAGTACCATCCGAAAAATCTGAAAAAATTCATATGTATGTTTTCGAGGACCCTATATGTGAATCTGAGGTCAGTCGACCACAGTTGTGCCATAGAACTAGAATACCTGCCTTGACATGACCTTGAATGACCTCGAGGATGCAAGCAAATTAAAAATAAACACGGGATTCGGATTCAGCGGCCTCAAAAATATGTCCATGAATTTTTCAGATTTTTGGAAGGTTTTTTGGCCATTTGACCTTCAAATTACCTTGAAATGGGGTCAACTGACCTCAGATTCAGACTCAAGGTCCTCGAAAACATACGTATGAATTTTTTCAGATTTTTCGGATGGTACTTAGCATCGCAAGTCTTCGATTGTTTCAACCTCGCTGCCATACACTAAGTTTTTCATGTGTCCCCATAAATAAAAACCCAATGGATTTAGATCTGGTGAACGGGCTGGCCAACGATGGGATTGTTCCTGCCTATCCAGCGATTTTCGAAATTATCATTTAAATATTAAACTACGCGTCGACTTGCATGCATGAACCACATAATTGCTCTTACGTCCAAATGTATTTCTTCCAGCAATTCCGGCAAAACATTCTGCAAAAATTCAAATATGCCTCTGCTGTCAATCTGCCTGGTAAGATAAAAGGTTGTTAAATTGTCTCCTAATATTCCACACCA